TCAGAAGATGCCTATCCCGTACATCATCAACTACAAAGTCATCGACAGATATCAATAAACACATCATCCTACCATACATAAAGAATATATCAGGAATCATGACAAGATTACTGATACCACTTGATGGAATTGGTGTGGCTCATAAACCAACAAATTCCTTCCAAACAGTATTTTGCAGACCAAAGGATTGATCAATCATAAAATAAACCCAATCTATCAATCAATGAGAAAAATGATAAACGACAGAAAGGTGAGAGGTCAAGCAGAAGAAAAGCCAACAGGAAAATCTATACAGTCAATCAATGACACAACAATCAAGTGAAATAACCAATCGCAAACCAGTTCGTCAGGATAAACTACTAAATCACTCACGTAGAGATATTGTTAACTCACTTCATACTGAAGTCAGGGATGACGATGTCGTCCAGCAACAGGATGAAAGCTCCAGGACTAAACAACTCAACTCAAAGAACACATTACAATCAAGACAAGTATACTCGTATTTGAGATATTTTCAGACAGCGGAATACACCCATTTCATCATAGGAAAATATATGACTTGGTTGCAGCGAAGGAAACTTTTTCATTTCGACGAAGTCATTTACTAAGCTGTACATTGGTGAATATATGTTACCGTTGGCAAACGTTCCAGAATTATTTTCGGTTAGGGCGCAAAATATATTAAATAACTAAAGGAAGTTAGTTAATACACATTTGGGTTTAGAGTGGGAAAATAGACAAGGGATTATGAAATTAAATGTAATTATGCAATACAGGATGAATGAATGTATGACAAAGTAGGAAAATGAGCAAAAGGTTATGAAAATATAATTGTAACTGAATTTTGAGGTAGTTGTGGGGATTTGGAAATATTTCAAGTTGTCATTCCTCGAAATGATGTCAGTCTACGATGAATAACAACTTGAAAATTGTAACTACCTAATGAATGTTAAATCTACGACAGAGTAGGACAATGAACAAGGGATTATTTAAATACATATATAGTTACCTAATACAGGGTGAACTTATGACAGTCAAGGCTTTATGATGGCTATGGCAAATACAAAGGTTAGATCTACCTTTCTTGGACCCATAAAGCTGGATCAAATTTCAGGATAGTTAGTGCTTTAACTATAGATAAATACCTTGATCTTATTCCCTTCGAATGGTTTGATTGAACCCTGTAGAGAATTTCGAATGAGTTTTTAAAAGGAGCTAAGTGGCCTGAGTTCATGAGGTGTTCTATTATTGAACTGGAGATACAGTTCCGTTCTCACTTCAGCAGCCAGACTAGGTAGTGTTCACGGGCACATTTTACAAGCGGACGCGTGGTACGACCGATGCCATTCAATATATTTTACCCTCCTAACCGGAAGTAATTCTGGAACATTCTGCCCATTGTAATATATATTCACGAATGTACAATCTAGTAAATGATTTCGTTGCTGGAACCACGTCTTGTCTTTTCCTAATTGCAGACAGTTGGCAAGTATTTTTGCATCAAGGTTTCCTCTCTTGAAACGCATTATTAAGGCATAACTACATTCTCAAGACGACTAATCCAGTCGCAGAGATATGAAATCAAGATATTGCATCAGTAATAACAGCAAATAAGCTGCTAAACAGCGGGACGTTACACTTTTAGAAAAAAACGTGGATCTGGTAAGATCATATGAAATAATCTTGCTTTAACGGACTGATTTTCAATACAATCGAGAGAGATGAAACAAAGCCTAGCTAGTGACAGTATCTAGACTAATGGTCTTCCTTTTTTGATTTTACAGGCAACTTTCCTAAGTATCAAAAAGCAACAATTAATACTCGTTGAGAAAGTGATAGCTCTCCTGCCCTAGTGGATAACGCTTTGGTATTTGAAGCGATTGTTACTGAGTCCGAGTTCCAGTGAGAACATCACTCACTGAGGTGCAGAAACATCTTGCTGACTAGTCCCAAACAGGATGTAACCAGCATCATGGATTCCCCTGCTAGGCATCAGGTAGGTTTCTTGTTAATTACATGAAACAATCCAGCAAACGAAATTTGTCAAGTTTTAAATCTTCATTTTTATTTGTTTATTTGTTTAAACAACAAGATTAAATGATCAATGTCTACAAAGCGGTTTATTAAATTGGTTAGAAAACAACGTAATATCATAAATGCACTCTGTGGAGGTTTTTAGGGTGATTATAACCAGTATTTACATAATTCTTATCTGTTAATGATATGATAGATAACAGTAAAGTAAATAATCAGTTACCTTCACTACTGAATTCTCTATTGTTTCTGAATGAGTTAAAATGTATACTGTGCTTGATAAAGCAATGGCTAACTGGCCGAAACAGTTGAGTTTCAGACGGTGGGTCATTAGGTCCCAGTGTATCTTCATCTCCTGAGGTTTGAGCAGCTAGGCAGTAGCCGTCATTCCCTTACATTAGGTTTGGTCAACTGGATAATTCAAGTAACTCGACATGATTACCAAGTTACATCGTAGTATTATGCTATATAATATTAGTGGAACTGACATGACCAAGTTATTTTCAATCGTCTATTGATCATATGTTTCTATGACATCAGAATATACACTACTGAATGTACTCCATGTATCTTCTGATCGTTTTCTCCTTTTCTCATTCTACTTTCTCTGTACAATCTTGACTTGGTAAGTCTTTCTAGATACCTCAAGAATTTTTCCAGTTGCATAGAAAATAATCACCGAGAGGTGATTTGGATATAAATTAAGACTTTCAGAGTATAAAACGGTAAGTAAATGGGCATCTCGGATTCCACTGCTAGAAAGTATCTATCATTAGCATTTAACTGAAACACAGGCAATATCAAGGCATCCACACAGGAGCCTATTTGTCAATAAAGACCGATCAATTCGGTTGAATCAGTGACGGCATAATACAAGCAATAAAACTCAAACTATACTTATTGCAATAAAAGTGAATATTGTGACTCGGTGACATAGTAGATAACGCCTTGGGGTTTGAAGCGGTCGGTCCCGAGTTCGAATCCTAGTGGGAACAAAACTAACCGGAAGGCAGGTACATCTAGCTGACTACTGAGTCCAAAACAGGACTAAGTGAGCAGCTCGGATTCCACTGCTAGCCAATATCCATCATTACTATAATATAGTGGATTGATTACAAGAAAGGAGGTTATTGTTATTATTTATCGTTGGGTTCCCAGTGGAACACAGGGATTCAGTAGCACGTCTCCATTTCACTGTCTTCTCTGCAGTCTTTTCAACCTGGCTTCATGACTCCCCACAACCTTTCATTTCTTCCTCACATGATCTCCTGCATGTCACCCTTGTACGCCCAACTCGTCGCTTCCCATCTGGGTTTCACTCAAGGGCGTGGTGTGTGATGTCTCCAGTCGGCCTCCTTAGTGTATGTCCAATCCAGCTCCACTTTCCTCTTCTGCATATTTGTTGGGTGATAGGTTCTTGTTTGGTTCATTCCGAGAGTTCCTCCTTGCTTATTCTTATTATTCTGGCCATCTGATCTTCACTAACGAGCCAGCGTAGGCGGTTGTTGATAAATGTCTGTAATTTGTTGGAAATCCCATGCGTAACGCGCCAAGTTTCTCAACCATATAGAAGCACTGACTTGACTGAATTGGTGTTGAAAATCCGGATCTTGTTCTTTGTGCTGAGTACAGTAGAGCTCCACACTGGTTTCAGATTGATGAAGGCTTGTCTTGTTGTCTTTCCGATCTTGGCTTTGACATCCTCATCTGTGCCGGGGTTAATTAGACGAAGCAAATTAGGGAAGGAAAACAAAATATATGATGGGTGGTAATTAAAAGACAGAAGAGCAAGTAAGAGAGGTTGAATATGATTCGACAATCTTATGATTCCTACCATGGCAGATTCAAGCTGACTACCATTTCCTTCTGAATGCAGAATGTCCATATCCCCGGGGTAAGTGCACAATCATTTCTATTGTTTACATGTGTATGGTGTTGATTAGATGAACAAAGAATAGGGTTTAAAACAAGCAACAAATGGGAAAAAAGCAGAGTTTAATGAAGTCATAAATTTCAGTAGTATCCGTCAGCTGGATACTCTGCATAAATGGTAGTCAGCTTGAATCTGCGATGGTAGGAATTATAGCATCGTCTGATCATATTCAATCTTTCTTACTTGCTCTTCTCTCTTTTAATTACCACCCATCATATAATTTGTCTTTCTTCCCTAATTTGCTTAGCCTAATTAACCTGATTGCTATCATCATTGTTATTCATCTCAATATACACTTGGTTTTCTTATTGTGTCTTCATAAGTAGTACTATTAACTATCTTGTTTTTAGTGACGTAATCAACGCTCAGTCGATTCACTTGTCATCCCTTGTGTCAACATTATTATTGTTGTTTATTATATGAGATAATCATAGTTTGGTAGACTAGCATTTATACTAGTTGATGATTGAAAGTGAGATAGTAGAGCATCCGGTCGGAAATCCGACGGTCACTCGTTCTTATTCCGCTGCGGTACAAATTTTCATCTCATCTTCAATCATTGTTATTATCATTATTCTCCTACCTGAAATCCATCATTATCCAAACTTAATTAACTTATCGTCAACCTATTCAATTTTAAATATCTATCTCTACCCTTTGCATTAACATTTCACCTGTATATGCTGTTCACTTCTATGTTGTTACACCTAAATTGATGTATCAATCTATGCTATTGATGTATGTATGTGTATGTAGAGAGTATGCAGCTGATGAGTACTACTGAAATTTATGAATTCATTACACCCTACTTTTTTCCACACATTTCTTGCTTGTTTTAAATACTTGAAAGATTATAAAGTAAGTAATAATGTATCACTGTGTGTTATAAATTATAAATAAGTAAATCTAATGTGTATACATATATATATATATATGTATACATATATATATATATATATATATATATATATATATATATATATATATATATAATTCTATGGTTTAACTTTATGTCAACTTTAATGGTTTACCAGTGTAATTTTTTAATCAAATTACAAACATTTTATCAGTACAAAATAGTTCATTATGTACAACTGAAAAATTTGAGTACAAGTGTAAAATTTACAATCATCACTGTATAGAAAGTATCAATAATACAGTGCATAGTTGATAAATAATATCATTTTTATTCAATAAATCATTTACTTTGTAAATTATTATTATTATTATTGAAGTGTATCATAATTTACTAATTGAAACTGCACTCTTCTATTGTCAGTTATCATGTTATATATTATCTTCCTTCCTTTTATTTCTCATTATTCCCAAGTTACATATTTAAAAGTAAACAATCATATATTATTTTAGATAAAATACAATAACCACATTACTGATAACATCATTATAAAATAATATTTATTCAGAATAAATGTTTACAATCTCATTGATTTTATACTTTTACCTATTTGTTTATCAATTAACTATCGTATATTGTTTTATACCAGAACAATGTGGTTACAATTTAACTAAAGGTATACCAATCTGTTGTCCTGTTAGTGAGGATACTAGTGAAGTATGTGGTGGACCTAAACGTGGTGAATGTGTTCGTATATGGACACCAAAAGAGAAAATACCAAGTGTATTTCTTATTGATGATCGAATTGATTGGCCAACTCGTTATTTTACATATTTTTGTCAATGTAAACATAATTATTTTGGTGTTGCTTGTGATGAATGCTGGTTTGGTTGGACTGGTAAACATTGTAATAAACGAACTATTAAAATTCGACGTGATATACGAACATTTTCTGATAGAGAATTGCATATATTTAAAACTGTATATGTACTTAGTCAAAATTGGCCATCTGGTTATCTTTTAATTGATGAAACACATAATTGGTATGTGGATCCATTAAGAAAGCCGAAATTAATGCCTGCAAGTGTAGCACATTTCACTACTTACTTACATCAATATGCTAGTCGGAGTACTTTATATAAAAATGTAAAAGATTGTGAAGACTTTGGTATCTTAAACTTTAATCATGATGGTGTTGTCTTTCCTGTATGGCATAGATATTTTATCTTATTCTGGGAAAGATTATATGGTAAAATTGCATATGCTGTTTTTGGTATAACAAATTATGCTGCACCATATTGGGATTGGCTTGGTAAAACGCATTGTGATGTCTGTATAGATAAATATATTGGTTCACCAGGTGTACGTGATGAAACTGGATTGCATATATCAATGGGTTCACCATTTTATAATCTAACTGAATATTGTTATGAACAATTTAAAGATAAACTTTGTTCTGGATGTTTAGAAAGTAAAGTTAGACACACAATTACACGTGAATTCGTTGCAACAGAGTTTCCAGATAGAAGAGACTTAGAATTCATCTTAAACTTAAAAAAGTAAGTAAAATACTATTGAAATATAATCTATAATTAATACCTTTTCTGTTATGCTTTTTTAAAATAATCATCTCAATCAGTATTATTATTACTCTTTGACCCTTGGGTTCCTAATAGGACATATGGATTCAGTTGCATGTCTCTATTCCACTCTCTTCTCTGCAAGCTTTTCAACCTGCCTCCACGATAGCCTACAAGCTCTCATTTCTTCCTCACACAATCTCTCCCATGTCACCCTCAGCTAAGACGACCAATTCGTCGCTTCCCATCAGTGTTCCACTTGAGGGTCTGGGACGTGATGTCCACGAAAGGCAGTCTCAGTGCATGCCCAATCCATCTCCACTTCCTTCCAATGCATATTTGTTCAGCGATAGTTTCTTGGTTGGTTCGCTGCCAGGCAGGCAGAGTTCCTCCTTGCTTATTCTTATTATTCTCGCCATCTAATCTTCAGTATGGAGCCAGCGTAAGCAGTTGTTGATGAATGTATGTAGTTTTTTGGAAATGCTTCTTGTGGGGCGCCAATTTTCTGAACCATATAGAAGCACTGAGTTGACACCTATATATTTCATGAAATAGAGTGAGAATCGCATTGTGCATAACACCTAGTTATCATTATTAATATGACATAAAGTCCAATAACTGAGTGAGTACATGGCGTATGACGGAGAAGATTTCGAGTAAACTACAATCATAAATATTTAGGCAGTATTGAGATAATCACATAGGAGTCCATATGCCAATAGGCATTGATTAATTTGATCCAGTATAATAAAGTATATCAGCAAATAGTAATAACTAGTAGCTGTTGTTCAAGAGGTAGCTTACTGAAAGATGCTTTGACGTCTTAAGTGATGGATACCAGGTTCAAGTCTCAGTGAGAACAACACCACTCACTAGGATGCAGGTACACCTAGTTGACAAGTCCTAAATAGGACGATAGTATTGTAACATATTTCAACCTCTTAGACTGGATCATAAAAGTTTCATCATCAAACTACGTGGTTTCATCACTAATTGACTCTTTTATGAAGTACATCCTGATGAGATCACTTAGCAGAGTAATTCAAACTACAAAGCCTTAAGAACCCATTCGAAACATAAAGGAATGTTTCACAACTTTGTTTATCAGATGGTAACTCATGTAACTTTCAAATACAAACGTCCCTATTTAGTTTTCCAGTATAACCGTTTAGATAACTGATACCACATTGCAGTGTACTAGGTATTAAATTTTACAATGTATAAAACTAGTCGTTGGGTTCCTGTCAGTGGTGAATACCTAAGACTAAGTGGCTAAATTTGTTATCAACTAGTGACCGGTTCATGAACATTATCCAGTCTGGAATGGGTTGAATCACAGCCTAAACAACTTAGTAGTAAAACTTCTGCCTTCAGCACTGATTGATGACACATTCAACCTATCAAGAGAATATAAATTTCAATGGTTAATTAACAAGAATAAAATTAAGGTGTAAAACTTCTTGTCAACTAACTACTAACATCTAAAAAGAAAACACTGAAGCCTAATACTAGAATTGATTACTTTATTGATTTGGTTATCTGTCCTGATGGAATAATTTCAGAAATAAGAAAAATAGTAACTTCATTAACATTTAGAATCAAACTGAAAAGTTGGACAACGGACAAAGAAATGTAGCATAAAATTATTCATGAGAGTAGGTTATACATAACACGATTATGATAAGTTATCAATTGAAATAGTGGGAAATATTCAAAACATTCCTTTGAATAAAATTAGAAAAACACCAAATTTTTTATTAGGTATACCAACTGAATTTTGAGAAAATATTCAGCATGCATTGTCTTCGAGTTTCTATTATTTCTGTGTTTATCCTAATGACATCATAATACATACTACTCATACGTATTTTTCTAAGTAGTATACACCCCTATATCAATTTAAAAGTGGTTAAATCACATTTGTATTAAATGAAATTCATTAAAATTACATTCGTATAAGTATATAAATTAGGAAAGACAGAAGTATACTTCTGAGTATCATGGAAGTACATTTATTAATTAACTTTTTCCCTACGTCTAGTATGACTAATATTTAACTAAGACCAGAGGGAGAAATCTAAAAGAAGTTGTTTCTTTCACCTACCATCCAGGTAGCATCGTTTCAACTATAGGCAGCTGTGACACATATGAGGATGTCAAAACAGACAGGATCAGAAAGACAGCAAGATACGCCTTCCTGCATTAATCTGAAATCAATCAGTGTGCAGATCTAATCCACTCCACTCAGCATAAAGCATGAACAAGATACAGATTTTCAACACTAATTCAGTCAAGTCAGTCAGTCAGTCAGTTAGTCAGTGCTTCTATGTGATGGTTGAGAGAATTGGCGCCTCACGAAAAGCATTTCCAACAAACTACAGACACACATGAACATCTGTCTTCCACGCTCACTCAGTCGATAGTGAAGATGGAGATCAGTTGACCAGAATAATGAGAATAAGCAAGGAGGAACTGTGGTTGGCTGACTGGGTGGCAACCAACCAACCAACCGAGAATCTATTGCCCGTCAGATATGCAGAGGAAGAAAGTGGTGGTAGATTGAACTGGGCATACAGTGAGGAGACCGTTTGAGGACATCACGCTCCATGCCAGGCGGTCAAGTGGAAGCCGAATGGGAAACGACGAGTCGGACGTTTTAGATGAGGGTGACATGGAGTAGATCTTTTGAGAAATAAATGAAACGTTGTGAACAGGCAGTTGTGGAGTGAGACTTCAGAGGCGATAGTGGAATGGTGACTTGCTACTGAAGGTGTATATTCCACTATGAACCTAAGGGAATAATAATAATAATTACTATGAACATTATATAGGATAACTAGCTAGCGAACGATTGAAATAGCCAGATGTCAACTCAATCTACTAACATTGTGGCATCTTTGTAAATAAAATTCTGTATGACATTATGTTTGAAAAATTATAATTCTGATGAAAATTAGAGCAAAGTGCTGTTTATCAATACTTGTAATTTCCCATTTCATTGCTCGACCTCTGTTAGAGTTTGAAGCTATAGCTACTGGATTCTATCATTGGGAACAACACTACTTAAACTGCAGGTAAATCCAATTGATGAGTCCCGAAAGGGACGAAACGTATGTCCTAGATTCTACTGTTAGCCACTAAATAGACTTCAATAAACAACGAAAATTGGTCCACTGAACTGAAGCTTCCACAAATGAATATCAAAGTAATTTCCATGGATATTGGTGATCCCATATTAGCTCATATGTAGACATATTTATTGATAAATAGACTATTCAATATTGTTCGGTATTCAATAATACTCTAGTCCTTAGATCAAACAGTGTCAGAAAATAATAAATCAAATGAATATTTTCACAAAATCTTCTAACCTAATAATACATGCATCTGTAATTGGCAGAGTTTTTCTACAAAAAAGCCTGATGGTAGTGAGGACAATTAATCAACAATGACTTTGGATGGCGGTTGCGCTATATCGTCAGCTGACGGAAGTTGAAAATATCGACCACTGATTCCGTGGAGCCAGTGGCTTACGGGTAACGTGCTGGCTACAGAACCTGAAGGTCACGGGTTCTATCCCTGGGGGTCGGGGTCGTGGTTGCGCACTACTGAGGAGTCCCATACTAGGACGAAACAGTTGCCTGTCCAGTGCTCCCAGGTTTCCTTTGTCCCTCCAGTTGATGTCAGTCTACGATGAATAACAACTTGAAATATTTCCAAGTCTCCACAACTCCCTCAAAATATATTATTTTATTATTATTTGTCCCTTAACCTCGCCTGGTTAACTAGTTTACTAGTTACTAGCCGGTCCTAAGCCCGGGTAAAGAGGGAAGGTTGGGCATAGGGCTAGCAACCCTACCCCGTAAAACAAATCTAACCGCTAAAGAAACTTCAAAGCACAAACAAAATATAAAAAATGAAAACAAACTTATTCCCCGCTGGAATCGGAGAGGCGAAATGACGCCAGTTGGTGAAAGCCTTCGGGAAGCCAATTGGCCGATGTGTCTTCTCTCGATGAAAGCGAAAGTAAACGTGGGGACATGGAATGTCCGCACGATGTTTGAACCCAGTAAGGCAGCCCAGATTGCAAAGGAGATGAGAAGGTATAACATCGAAGTGCTTGGGATTTGCGAAAGCAGATGGAATGGGAGTGGACTCTCCAAACTGTCAACTGGAGAATCAATAATCTACTCCGGTCACCCAGACGCCAACCACGAGCACACTGAGGGAGTGGCTATCATGATGTCCTCAAGAGCATCGAAGGCTCTCATGCAGTGGGAACCAATCTCCTCCAGGATCATGACAGCAAGATTCAACTCAAAAGGAAGAAAGGTCACAATCATACAATGTTATGCACCTACAAATAATGCAGAGCAAGAGAAAAAGGAGGAATTCTACAGACAACTTCAATCAACACTGGACAAGACGTCAGTTGGCGATATCAAAATTCTAATGGGCGACATGAATGCCAAACTGGGAGGGGACAACACGGGAAGAGAACTAACCATGGGTCGAGAGGCGCTAGGTGAAATGAATGAGAATGGAGAATTGTTTGCAGAATTCTGTGCATTCAACGATTTGGTGATTGGAGGCAGTGTGTTCAGGCACAAGGATATCCACAAAGCGACATGGATTTCACCAGATGGACACACTAAAAATCAAATCGACTTTATCTCAATCTCAAGAAAATGGAGACGCAGTCTACTTAACACAAGGTCAAGAAGAGGAGCAGATGTAGGTTCAGACCACTATCTAGTGCAAGGAACCTTCCAAATCAAGTTAAAAGCCTTCAAGGAAGCTGGTGATAGACCTCAATTCAAGTACAACACTCGGAAACTGAAGGATGAAACTACAAAGGAGATCTTCAAGGCAGCCATCAAGACAAAATGGGAGACATCGAGCAACATCCCTGAAGAAACCTGTGTGGAAGAACACTGGAAGTCTTTGAAAGCTATGTGGAAAGAAACCTGCACAACCGTATTAGGAAGGAAGAAGAAAGAAGACAAGGAATGGATCTCGACGGATACCTGGAAGCTGATAGAGGAGAGGAGGATGGTGAAGCAGAAGATAAACCAGTGCAAGGATGCTCAACGACAAGAGGAACTGAGCACAATGTATAAAACACTGGACAAAGAAGTGAAGAAGAGTGCACGCAAAGACAAAAGACACTTCTACGAAACACTGGCAAGTGAAGCAGAACAGGCTGCAGGTAAGAGAGACCTGACGACATTGTATCAAATAACCAGGTTGCTATCAGGGAAGAGACCAACACAGATGAAACCAATAAAAGATGAAGAAGGAAATTTAATTACAAAAGAAGAGAAACAGAGGAAACGATGGGCCGACCACTTCAAGAAGCTCTTGAATCGACCACCACCTGCACTTCGTCCAGAAATACCACCTGCAGCCGCTGAATTACAAGTGAACATTAATCCCCCAACGAAAATGGAAGTCCTGAACGCCATAAAGCTACTGAAATGCGGGAAAGCAGCAGGACCAGATGGAATACCGCCAGAAGCACTGAGAACAGATGCAGAGACAACAGCGGACATGCTCACACCACTATTGCAGAAGGTGTGGAAGGAAGAGAAGGTACCTGACGATTGGAAGAAGGGTTACCTTGTCAAACTGCCGAAGAAGGGAGACCTCAGTGCTTGCAAGAACTGGCGCGGAATCACTCTCCTGTCCACCCCAAGTAAAATATTAAGCCGCATCATCCTGGAGAGGCTTAAAGACGCACTGGATTCAAAACTGCGACCGGAACAGGCAGGCTTCAGGAAGTACAAATCATGTGCTGACCAAATTGCAACGCTTCGTATCATCATAGAACAGAGCGTAGAATGGCAATCAGCTCTATACCTCAACTTCATCGACTTTGAGAAGGCCTTTGACAGCGTCGACCGAGAAGTAATTTGGAAACTGCTTCAATACTACGGAGTACCGCAAACCTTTATCCGCCTCATTCAACAACTATATGAAGATGCCACATGCCAAGTAATCCACAATGGGAAGCTCAGTGATGCCTTTGAAGTGAAGACAGGAGTGAAACAAGGTTGCCTACTATCCCCCATGATATTCCTTATTGTGGTGGACTGGATCATGCAGCAAACAGTAGGCAGCGAGAAGAGGGGGATACACTGGACGACGGAAAAGAACCTAGAAGACTTGGATTTCGCCGATGACTTATGCCTAATGTCACACAAACTTGAAGATCTGCAGGCAAAAACTAACAAGTTGATAGAAGAGGCAGCGAAGACGGGACTTCAGGTGAATATAGAGAAGACAGAAGTGATGAAGATACCGCACCACCACCATCAACAACAACAACAAACTCCAATCACCGTCAACGGGAGAAACTTGAAGGAAGTAACCTCCTTCACTTATCTAGGAAGCACTGTTTCAACTACAGGCGGGACGGACGAGGACGTCAAAGTCAGAATCGGAAAAGCAAGACAGGCCTTCATTAGCCTGAAACCAGTGTGGAGATCTTCTGCACTCAGCATGCGGAACAAGATACGGATTTTCAACACCAACGTCAAGTCAGTGCTCTTGTATGGCTCAGAGACTTGGCGCGTCACGAAAGGCATTTCCAATAAACTACAGACATTCATCAACAACTGCTTACGCTCGCTGCTGAAGATCAGATGGCCAGAAAAAATAAGCAACAAGGAACTCTGGGAACGAACCAACCAAGAACCTATCACGCAACAAATATGCAGGAAGAAGTGGAGATGGATTGGGCATGCACTGAGAAGGCCGACTGAGGACATCACGCGTCAGGCCCTCGAGTGGAATCCCTATGGGAAGCGACGAGTTGGACGTCCGAGGGTGACATGGAGGAGGTCATGCGAGGAGGAAATGAGAGCTTGTGGGCTGTCGTGGAACCAGGTTCAAAAGATCTCGGAGAACAGAGGTCACTGGAGGCGTGCTACCGAAGCCCTATGTTCCACTAGGAACCCAAGGGACTAATAATAATAATAATAATAATAATATTATTTGTCCCTTGGGTTCCTAGTGGAACATAGGGCTTCAGTAGCACATCTCCGGTGAATTTTGTTCTCTGAAATCTTTTGAACCTTGCTCCAAGACAGCCCACAAGCTCTCATTTATTCCTCATACAATCTCTTCCATGTCACCCTCGTCTCAGACGCCCAACTCGTTGCTTCCCATCTGGGTTCCACTCGGAGGTCTGGCCTGGCGCGTGATGTCCCCGAAAAGCAGTCTCAGTGCATGCCCAATCCATCTCCACTCCCTTCCAGTGCATATTTGTTGAGTGATAGGTTCTTGGTTGGTTTGTTAACAGCCAGAGTTCCCTGTTCCCTATTCTTTCTGGCCATCTGATCTTCAGTATCGAGCCAGCGTAAGCAGTTGTTGATGAATGTCTGTAGTTTGTTGGAAGTGCCTTTCGTGACGCACCAAGTCTCTGAGCCATGCAGAAGCATTGACTTGAAGTTGGTGTTGAAAATCCATATGTTGTTCTTAATGCTGAGTGGAGTGCAGAAGATCTCCACACTGGTTTCAAACTAACGAGAGCCTGTCTTGTTGTCTTCCCGATCCAGGCTTTGACGTCCTTGTCTGTGCCACCACCTGTAGTTGAAACAGTGCTGTCTGCCTAGATAGGTGAAAAAGGCTACTTCCTTCAGGTTTTTCCCGTTGATGGTGATTGGGGCTTGTTGTTGCTGTTGGTTGGGTAACTCTCTGTAAAAAAATTACTAATTACATTCTTTTGTGTAATTCAGTCTACTAAAGGCTTATTCAACATGCAAACTATCTTACGGACTTTTCTTTAAAGATATATTAGAATAGTAGAATAAACATCTTATCCGATAATATTCACTATTTTTTTTGAACCAAAGTTTTAATTCATAATTAGTTCAAACAAGAATAAATATATCCTTAATACCTTATGACTAGAGTACTGATAGAGAGACATTTCTTGGTAAGATATAAAATTTCTCAGAAGAATGAACAGTATGCCAAGTCTTCATATTGAAGAAGTTTGATAAATAGTTGACTATCGTATCTGACTCGGTAGATCGTTGAATGTGATCATATGGAAAGTATAAGCTGAAATCTTACAGTTAACCATATTTTAATTTCAATAATTATCCAATTTCTTGTTGTCTTGTTAACATTAACTCGCATAAAAATGTGACAAAAGGTGAATATTTTGAATTTTTCCTGTTTTTTCTTATAGATATTTTACTCCTGGTGATCGGGCTATAAATAAGTGTATTTCATTTCATATGGGTTTAGAAGGATATTGTGGTCGACCAGGATCGAATACAAAATATCGATGGTTTCATAATAAAGTACATGTCATGATTGAAGGCAGTATGTGTTGTACAGCAACATCAACGAATGATCCACTGTTTATACTGCACCATAATTTTGTTGATAAAGTATTTGAGGTAAGCTTTTCAATTTTAAGTTTACGTCAAGATCTATTCCTTGTCTTGCTTCTTCTTCCTTCCTAACATGATTATGCAAGTATCTTTCCACATAGCTTTCAAAGAGTTTTAGTGTTCTTCCATATAGGTTTCTTCAGAGATGCTGCTTAGTGTTTACAACTTTTTTCCTGATAACTGACATGAAGATGTCCTTTGTAGTTTCGTTCTTCAGTTCAGTTTATGTTTTGGGTGTTGATCTTGAACTGTGGTCTATCACCAACTTCCTTGAAGGCTTTCAACTTAATTTTGAAGTTAGGTTCATTGCACTAGATAGTGGATGGTGTGAACCTACATCTCATTAACTGTTTGCACGTCTTGATCTGGCCACACTGAACTCTCTTTCGACCTAATCTAGCTACCCCATAACATAGCACATCGAGGTGGGCAGTGGATAGCCATGCACAGTACATGTCCAAGCTATGTTAGCCGATGAACTTTAATCCATATTCTACGAAATATAATTCCGAAAACCTAGAAATCCAGTGAATAACATAATGATTTTTGATATGATAGGTGGCTAACCTATAAACGTGATAGGAATTTAAACTACTACTGTATTACATTTATACACAATTGATTTGATGTTAGCAAACCAGAATTTATATTTTAGACTATACTATTTACTACTTCCAAATAATATCTAAATGTAATCAAAGATGGAGATATTATGCATTAAAAAGGTGTATAAGTTCCGTTTGTTTCATCAATGACTGATAACCTTTTCATCTTTATATTATTTCACTTATCCAACATTATTATTATTTGTCCCTTGGGTTCCTAGTGGGACATAGGGCTTCAGTAGCACGTCTCCAGTGCACTTTGTTCTCAATAATCTTTCGAACCTGGATCCAAAACAGCCTAGAAGCTCTCATTTCTTCAAAACACGGTTTCCTCCACATCACCCTCAGCTGGGACGCCCAACTCGTCGCTTTCTATCTGGATCCCACTCGAGGGCCTGGTCTGGCGCGTAATGTCCCCGAATGGTCTGCTTAATGTATGTCCAATCCATCTCCACTTCGTTCTGCATATTTGTTGAGTGATAGCTTCTTGGTTGGTTCGTTCCTAGAGCTCCTTGTTGTGTATTCTTATTATTCTGGCTATCTGATCTTCAGTAACGAGCGTAGGCAGTTGTTAATGAATGTCTATAGTTTGTTGGAAATGCTTTTCGTAATGCACCAAGTCCCTGAAGCATATAGAAGCACTGACTTGAGTGATATGAGTGTTGAAAATCCGGATTTTGTCCTTTGTGCTGAGTGCAGAAGGTCTCAACACTGGTTCCAGGTGAATGAAGGCCTGTCTTACTGTCTTTTCGATCCTGGCTTTGACGTCCTCGTCTATGTCAGCTGTAGTTGAAACTCATCGTTTCCCGTTTGGATTTCACTCGAGTAACTAACCTGGAGCATGATGTCCCAAGTCGGCCTCCTCAGTGTGTGCCCAATCCCATCCATCTCTACTTTCTTCTATTGCATATTTGTTTGGTGATAGGTTCTTGATTGGTTCATTCCCAGAGTTTCTGGTTCCCTATTCTTTCTGGCCATCTGATCTTCAGTATCGAGCCAGCGTAGGCAGCTATTGAGGAATATTTGTAGCTTGTTGGAATGCTTTTCATGACGCGCTGTACCATATAGCAGCACTGACTTGACTAACATTGGTGTTGAAAATCTGAATCTTTTTCTTTATGCTGAGTGGAGTGCAGAAGATCTCCACACTGGTTTCAAACTAACGAGAGCCTGTCTTGCTATCTTTCCAATCCTGGCTGGTTTAACGTCCTCGTCTGTGCCACCACCTGTAGTTGAAACAGTGCTGTCTGCCTAGATAGGTGAAAGAGGCTACCTCCTTTGAGTTTCTCCAGTTCATGCTGATTGGAGCTTGTTGTTGTTGTTGTTGGTGGTGGTGGTGGCGTTGGTTGAGTGTCTTCATCAACTCTGCCTTCTCCACGTTCACTTGAAGTCCCATCTTCATTGGCTGCCCTGCCCTACCTCTTCTGTCAACTTGTTAGTTTTCACCTGCAGATCTTCGAGTTTGTGCAACATCAGACATAAGTCATCAGCGGCAAAATCCAAATCTTCCTCTGGAGTCTCTTCCTTGGTCCAGTCAGCGTATGCCCCTCTTCTCACTCCTCAATGTCTGCAGCATGATCCAGTCCAGTCGACCACAATCAGGAATATCATGGGTGATAGTAGACAGACACCTCGTCTTACTCCTGTCTTCACTTCAGAGGCATCACTCAGCTTCCCATTGTGAATTACTTGTCTGGCATGTGGCGTCTTCATATGCTTGTTGAATGAGATTGATAAAGGTTTGTGGCACTAACATCGTAGTGTTGAAGCATCAGTTGCCAAATTACTTCTCGCAACACCATCAAAGCCTTCTCAAAGTCGATGAAGTTGAGGTAGAGTTGAGTTGAATACCATTCTATACCTCGTCCTATGATGATGTGCAGCATAGCTTCGCAATTTGATCAACACATGATTTGTTTCTCCTGAAGCCAGGCAGCCCACCTATTCCGGTTGTCATTTTGAATGCAACGCATTGTTTAGTCTCTCCAGGATGATGCGGCATAATATTTTGCTTGCTTTTGGTGGACAGGAGCATGATTCCATACCAGTTCATGCAAATACTTAGGTCACCCTTGTTTGTGAGTTTGATAAGGTAGCCCTTCTTACAATCTGCAGGTACCTCTCCTTCCTACCTTCCTTGCTTCCAGACCTTCTGCAATAGTGATGTGAGAATGTCCACTGTTATCCCTTAGTCTGTTTTCAGTACCTCTGGCGGGGTTTGATCTGGTCCTGCTGCTTTTCTCCATTTCAGTAGCCTTGAGGCGTTGAGGACTTCGACTTTCGTCGGAGGGCTTGTGTTAGCTTTTAGTTTGGTGGCTGGGATGCTGGTGGTATTTGTGGACGAAGTGCAGGTGGTGGTCGATTCAAGTGCACTTATTCAACATACAGATTTGATAATTCTATAATATGTATCCGTAAAGATCTTTCAACGCAAAAGGTTTGATCTTAGTGGAATTGAACTATGTATAAAGCAGTTAGTTGATAAGTTATATCTGGTTAAACCGTTTTGTCATGAAAATCAGTCAAATAGTACAACCTGTAAACTTAGCTAGAAGGGATGTTTAAGAATTAGATATTCCAGTTTGTAGAGGCGTTTCAACAGTTACACATTCCAAATCAATAACTTTATGTAGTTCCCCTTCAAACCATCAATATAAATTGGATTACTGTTGATTCATTACTTTAACACCAAGCTCGAGTCAGTAAATATTACCTATGAAAGTGTATCAGTGTCTAATTGAATGTGTTCAAGTGTCTTGTCAGAGTGTATTGGAATGATGAACCTCCAAACCTGCGTCATCCAGTGCTCTAATCAGAGACGTTGACACTGACTTATTAGGGCTTTGTATCGATCGCTTTCAACTTACTAACATCTGTGACTATAAGTCTTCAAGTTTTTTGACCACACTGCAAAACGATCAACAGAATTCTGTCGACAGTCAGGACTATACAACATGAATCATGAGTATTCTAAGTTAAGTGATCACTGTATTATAATTGATAAAGTCTTTTTGAGATGAATAGGGGGTTTTTAATTTAAAAGTAGTATTTATCATGGATTGACATCAGTTGAGGAACCACTGAGAACCTGGGAGCACTGGACAGCTGTTTCGTGCCAGTACGGGACTCCTTAGCGGTACGCACCCACTACTCGGCTGGGGATCGAACTCAGGAACTCCAGGTTTCACGGCGAACGAGTTAACCCTTCAGCCACTGGGTCGGTTTTTTAGTGGTTCACAATTTCCAACTTCTGTCAATTCACGACGTAGCGCCACTATCATCCAAGGTCTTGAGTTAGCATCCACTTCACCTCCTACTGGCTGACCCCACAGATCACGGCTTCTCATTAGAGCTTCCTGATATTCATCTGGAAGCAAGCGTACTGCTGAGGAGTCCCGTACTAGGATGAAACAGCTGTCCAGTGCTCTCAGATTTTCAATGGTTCCCCAACTGATGTCAGTCCATGATGAATACTATTTCTAAATTGATGAATTCAGTTAAAAATTGATCAGTCACTGGAGATTAACCAATGTCCCGTTATCTAACTTGATCGAATTCTACTGATCAACGATACAGTATATTCAACAAACTGAAAGAATCATTGCCATCATAAAGTGTACCTTTATCAATGTAAATTGAAGACGAAGACAATCGGTTGAAAATTCTGAAGTTAGGTTTCAAACTTATGTCCTTTCCTCAGAAAGATGTACCTGCGACTAGAACCAGTATACGTTAGACTGAAACTATCTAATATGGAAACTGTCTGCTTTGTATGTGTGCACTAAGTGTAGGTTACAGTAATGAAGACAAAACGATGAATAATATATGATACCTTTTTTACAAAGTAAAATTATTCCAGATAAAAATGGAAATTAAATTATACTGAACTACTATTTCGTTTAGTATAATCATTCTTCAAAAGTTTCCGATGTTCATTTCAACTCTTTACTACAATCAAAACTTGTAGGTTTTTTTAGACGAATTTACTGTCTTAAGGGCGGTGAACTAATTCTTTACTGAATAGAATAATAAAAGATGCACACAAAAACTGGAGAATAATCTATAAAGTGAATAGCCTACATTGGTAGGAAGGATTGTAATTTGTGTCATTCTCAAACAACTCTGAGTTATCTTGAAGTTTTTTGAGGGAGTTGTACTCCCAGGTTTCCTTTGTTCCTACAACTGATATCAGTCTACAATGAATAATAACTTGAAATATTTTCCTGAGGTGTTAGCAACGCTTTTTAGTCTATGAGAATCTATCTTGTCGTATGAATATTATTACTAAGTTTATAGGATATTTTTTGATTCGATAGTTACTGGATGATAAACCTTTTAATTTATTCGATCCTACGACTGTTTTGCAACAATTAGGATACAATAAGTTGTTAGTGATAACTTAACATATCGGCCAGTCTTTACCATTTTGTCTGGGCTGACAGTGACACTCAATAAGTCAACCCAAATTGCTTCTTATATGAGGTACCAATGATCTTCGCAACTATATATATATATATATATATATATATATATATATATATATATATATATATATATATATATATATATATATATATATATATATATATATATATATATAATATATTATAGAGAGGCTTAAGCGCACTGGATTCAAAACTGCGACCGGAACAGGCAGGCTTCAGAAGTACAAATCATGTGCTGACCAAATTGCAACGCTTCGTATCATCATAGAACAGAGCGTAGAATGGCAATCAGCTCTATACCTCAACTTCATCGACTTTGAGAAGGCCTTTGACAGCGTCGACCGAGAAGTAATTTGGAAACTGCTTCAATACTACGGAGTGCCGCAAACCTTTATCCGCCTCATTCAACAACTATATGAAGATGCCACATGCCAAGTAATCCACAATGGGAAGCTCAGTGATGCCTTTGAAGTGAAGACAGGAGTGAAACAAGGTTGCCTACTATCCCCATGATATTCCTTATTGTGGTGGACTGGATCATGCAGCAAACAGTAGGCAGCGAGAAGAGGGGGATACACTGGACGACGGAAAAGAACCTAGAAGACTTGGATTTCGCCGATGACTTATGCCTAATGTCACACAAACTTGAAGATCTGCAGGCAAAAACTAACAAGTTGATAGAAGAGGCAGCGAAGACGGGACTTCAGGTGAATATAGAGAAGACAGAAGTGATGAAGATACCGCACCACCACCATCAACAACAACAACAAACTCCAATCACTGTCAACGGGAGAAACTTAAGGAAGTAACCTCCTTCACTTATCTAGGAAGCACTGTTTCAACTACAGGCGGGACGGACGAGGACGTCAAAGTCAGAATCGGAAAAGCAAGACAGGCCTTCATTAGCCTGAAACCAGTGTGGAGATCTTCTGCACTCAGCATGCGGAACAAGATACGGATTTTCAACACCAACGTCAAGTCAGTGCTCTTGTATGGCTCAGAGACTTGGCGCGTCACGAAAGGCATTTCCAATAAACTACAGACATTCATCAACAACTGCTTGCGCTCGCTGCTGAAGATCAGATGGCCAGAAAAAATAAGCAACAAGGAACTCTGGGAACGAAGCAACCAAGAACCTATCACGCAACAAATATGCAGGAAGAAGTGGAGATGGATTGGGCATGCACTGAGAAGGCCGACTGAGGACATCACGCGTCAGGCCCTCGAGTGGAATCCCTATGGGAAGCGACGAGTTGGACGTCCGAGGGTGACATGGAGGAGGTCATGCGAGGAGGAAATGAGAGCTTGTGGGCTGTCGTGGAACCAGGTTCAAAAGATCTCAGAGAACAGAGGTCACTGGAGGCGTGCTACTGAAGCCCTATGTTCCACTCGGAACCCAAGGGACTAATAATAATAAAAAATAATATATATATATATATATATATATATATATATATATATATATAGTCAGAATGAAGTTTTACATATTTCTGAATCAATGTAGAAGAAAAGAACCATGAAATTTGCCTCAGAAACTTGAATCGCTGCAAACTTAAGAAAGAAAGACAGATAATAACTAGAGAATACATCAGTAATAGTCCTGAGTAAAATTGACTATTCATTAGTGTGGTTAACCCAACTGAAAATATGCGTTTCAGAAGGTTGACTGATGGTGTGAAACGGAAAACGTAAATAATAACCATGAAGGCCACAGAATATAGGAAAAATGAATATCCCGTGAAGTAAAAACTCAGAATTAAACAACAACAAACAACTGTGACTTAAATGAACAGGTTAGCTTTATAACTTTATTACTTTGAGTAAAAAAGCTGGTGGACTCGAACTTTGAACGAGTGAAACAATCCTTGTTTTGGATAATGTAATTAGATGCAGATTATTTGAAAAATGTGGTGATGTATAAGCGCTATACACATAAGAAAGATGATGAGGGGGGAGAAAAAGATAAGATAAGAAATACTTAACAACGTACAAAACAACATAAGCCTAACATCTGAAGAAGAGGAAGAAAACCGTTTGCCATTCTTGGATATACTCGTAAGTCGTAGAAATGATGGTTCAATAAAACGGTCGAACTACAGGAAATCTATTTCAACAGGTCAGTATTTAAGTTTCCATAGCTTTTATCCAACCGAATACAAGTGAGGTTTGGTAACTGGCCTATTTAAAAGGATCCAGCGTATTTGTATGGAAGACTCAATGGATGATGATATCAAAATACTAACAGAAACATTAGTGGAAAATGAATATCTATTGTAATTCGTAAACCGCTGCAAAGTCAGCAAGGATTCAATCCTAATCTGTACTCTGTTTTGAAGAAATGTGTTTACATCGCGTTACCATACAAAGGAGAATCTAACAGCATAATATTAAACGAAGGTTAAGGTCTGTTGTCAGCAAAAAGTACCATGCAGTTAAGCTTATCATAGTTGAGAAGACCAAACACCTGCTGCAACATAGACCTCAACGCTGTTTAAACGACTGGGTCACATCCCACTGCGTTTATAAATTTACATGTGTGCATGGACAAACATACATGGGGAGGACTAATCATGATATGCACTTGAGGGTAGGGATAGCCATGTTCCAAAATGGCTACGAAAGTAGTTATATTCACAAACATTGGTAAGTGCAGATGGCAGACAACCATCATCTACATCCATTGCAAAACATATCATTGATAAAAGTCACAGGATTGATATTAAAACAGCCTTTACAATTTTGTACAGAAACTATCAGCGGTGTATACTTAAGTTTGTTGAGGCACCAGCCATAAATAACCCCATTGTGTATGCAAAAACAGTTTGTCCTTACCTTAAGCCTACCTTAGTAATGCTTATTATTATTGTATTACCAAGATTGTCTTCAAATCTTATCTTTTTCGTTTTCCTCTCATTATCTTTCTTATTATGGAATTCCTTTATGTCATATGTGTCCTTCCCTCACTTACAGTTTTCATATATAATGGCCTTGTGACAAGTAAATGTGTGGGGGATCAGATTGTTCAAAATGTGTATAGCGCTAATACATCACCACATTTTTCAGATAATCTACATCTTCTAATTACGACGTTATCCAACTTCATAAATTTATTATTATTATATATTATTATTATTATTAGTCCCTTGGGTTCCTAATGGGGCTTCAGTAGCACGTCTCCAGTGAACTCTGTTCTCTGAAATCTTTTGAACCTGACTCCACGACAGCCCAGAAGCTCTCATTTCCTCCTCGCACGATCTCCTCCATGTCACCCTCGGATGTCCAACTCGTCGCTCCAAATTCATAAAAGGGACTAATTTTTTTCAAATCCTTATTTTATTGGAATCACTCGGAACAGAACAGTAAAAGCTAAAAATATAATTGAGTAGATTCTTATCTAACATTTTATCTGTTAAGGTATTATTGTTATCATCAAATTTACCATGTTATTTCATAAATATATAACACACTAATATTCTTGCTGTTTCACTTCAGTGTTGGTTGAGAAAACATAATCCAAGTATAGATGATTACCCTGAAAAACATGTACGTCCTGGACATTCACGAAATTCATTTTCACTTGGAATAATACCACTCGCAAGAAATATTGACTTTTTTATCTTATTAGAAGAATTTGGAATATTTTTCGATGATAATTGGTTTGGAAAGTATGCTGATGATGGTCGTCCTCCATACTATTGTCCTTGAACAGAAAAAAAAACAGGAACAAAATAACAGTCTCCTGCATAAGGTAACAGCTATTGAAAGAAACAGTACTGTGTTGTGAAATAAATAAACATTAAAAATAATATTAGTAATAATAATAAAAATTGTTGGGAAAACGTTTGTGAAATTTATTTCAGCTTGATGGTAGTTAGGTATGATTATTATTATTCGTCCCTTGGGTGCTTAGTGGAGCATACACCTTCAGTAGCAAGTCACCATTCCACTATCGCCTCTGAAGTCTCACTCCACAACTGCCTGTTCACAACGTTTCATTTATTTCTCAAAAGATCTACTCCATGTCACCCTCATCTAAAACGTCCGACTCGTCGTTTCCCATTCGGCTTCCACTTGACCGCCTGGCATGGAGCGTGATGTCCTCAAACGGTCTCCTCACTGTATGCCCAGTTCAATCTACCACCACTTTCTTCCTCTGCATATCTGACGGGCAATAGATTCTCGGTTGGTTGGTTGGTTGCCACCCAGTCAGCCAACCACAGTTCCTCCTTGCTTATTCTCATCACTCTGGTCAACCGATCTCCATCTTCACTATCGACTGAGTGAGTGTGGGCGGCAGCTGTTCATGTATGTCTGTAGTTTGTTGGAAATGCTTTTCGTGAGGCGCCAATTCTCTCAACCATCACATAGAATTAGTGTTGAAAATCTGTATCTTGTTCATGCTTTATGCTGAGTGGAGTGGATTGGAGTGGATTAGATCTGCACACTGATTGATCTCAGATTAATGCAGGAAGGCGTATCTTGCTGTCTTTCTGATCCTGTCTGTTTTGACATCCTCATATGTGTCACAGCTGCCTGTAGTTGAAACGATGCCACCTGGATGGTAGGTGAAAAAGATAACTTCTCTCACGTTTATGCCGTTCATGGTGATAGTTGCTTGTTGTTGATGTTGTTATTGGTTGGGTATCTTCATCACCTCTGTTTTCTCCACGTTTACTTGAAGTCCCGTCTTCGCTGCCCTGCTCTACCTCTTCTGCCAACTGATTGGTTTTTGCCTGTAGATTTTCGAGTTTGTGCGATATCAGATGTGATAAATCATCATGGGCGAAATCCAAATCTTCTACTGGGATCTTTTCATCGGTCTAGCCGTGGTACGCCAATCTTTCCACAGCTCCTCACAGTTTGTTGGATGATCCAGTCGACCACAATCAGGAAGATCATCGATGATGATGGAAGGCTGCAACCTTGTCTTACTCCTGTCCGTTGTTTTCACTTCAAAGACATGTAGCCTCATCATATAGCACGTAGCTGGCTGTTGAATGAGGTTGATAAAGGTTTGTGGCAGTAAAATCGCAGCGTTGAAGTATCAGTTTCCAAATTACTTCTCCGTCAACGCCATCGAAGGCCTTCTCAAAGTTGAGTTGACTACCATTCCATACTCCGTTCTAGGATGATGAGCAGCATAGCTTCGCAATTTGATCAGCACATGATTTGTTTCTCCTGAAGCCAGGCAGCCCACCTGTTCCGGTTGTCATTTTGAATCCAGTGCACTGTTTAGTCTCTCCAGGATGATGCGGCATAATATTTTGCTTGCTTTTGGTTGACAGGAGCATGATTTCATGCCAGTTCTTGCAAATACTTAGGTCACCCTTGTTTGTGAGTTTGATAAGATAGCCCTCCTACCAATCAGCAGGTATTATGCAACACTATATTACATTACGACTTCTGCAATATGTTTATGAAACTCTTATTTATTCAGTTATCACTTTTCGGAAACAGAAACTGAAGAAGCATTTTTACGGACTATTAGTCTTATTTTTTTTCGGAGAAGAAATGTTAATTCACCATGTTATGTTGCTCATTTTTAGTCACTACTTAGAACTTAACATGACGCAATTGGTTAGTTTTCAGTAATCAGTCAGTGTATGAAACTAAAGATGTTAATTTAATTCTTTCTCTTCTAGAAATGTAGTGTTGCCTACCACTAAATTGTATGCACTGTATTGAGCGTAATATGTTTTTCAGTCAATTTCTAGGATATTCTAGATCTAAGGTGTCTGGTTTAGTACTTTTGTAGAAGATGTGATTTTTCAAGAGGAAAACAATAACCTCGTCATTAAAAATTTTGAATATGAACTGGTAGGTAACGCTGCCAGCATGTTGTTGTGTAAGCTTTGTGTAACTACGTATGTGTGACTACGTATGCCTAGTCACCGATTGCCTCGTCATACAATGTTGGCTGAGGTGGGTTCAGGCTGGAAAAAGGCCCGAGGTGGCCAGACTAAAACATGGCACCAATGGATGAAGTCTCTGACTGTTGGTTTGAGCCATATGGGGCGATGCAGACTAGATGGTTGGGGTCCACGGGACAAGAGGAACCAGTGGTTGGAGACTCTAGGTGATATGGCTCAGAACCGAAGTCAGTGGCGCAGATGTATACACACATTATCCTCATCTTAACAACGCTATACCGAATTTCACCATTTTGTCACTCCTCTTTCTTTTCTTCTCGTACTTTATATTTCTTTTGACTGCATTCACTTATCTTCATCCTTCACCTCACTACCTTTTTACTTGATGTACTGATATGAGGTGTGGCAACTCGGACCGTTACGCAGTAATGCCTGGTCCTATGTTGATAATGATGATGATGATGAACTTGACTGACTGACTGACTTGACTGAACTTGACTGACTGGCAACATGCCGGATACTGGCATTGGGCTAAATACTATCGAGCAGTGAACTTGGATCGATAATGGATGCTGAGTTTCGTGGACTGTTGACCACAAGGCAAAATGATCATCGGGATTCAGTTTGCATAAAGGGTTCGATGACACGAAACTGATAACACTCTAATGACCAATCAATATAAGTAATACAGCTATACAGGTCAGTCACGGCCAGGATAACTCAATAGTAACATATCTGACTGCAGCACTAAATGATGCCAGTTCCAAATCCCTGACCAGACATTGGTTAGACCGAGATCACAGATATACCTAGCTAAAGTGTGCCAAAAAGTATAGAACTACCGTTCAAAGTTTCCCAGTCATCTTCCTTGGTAACCACCCCTTATTTCACTTATCCCCCTAATTTACAGCACATCATTCAAATCATGAATAGCTGCCGGATAACGTCCCCTGCTTTGAAGGATCCAGGCCAAAGAGATAGTACTAATCTTTACAATAGTGAAATTATGCCTCCCTGATGAGCTTTAAACACACTCCAAACTCATGTCAAACAAGTTGACTCTATAACATCTCATACTTAGATCCACAACTGTAGTTTTAACCCATTGACATTTACCTCTATTCCTGATGAAACTAATGAGAATTCTCCCTTAAGAAATCAACTTCTAAGTGTTGTATACGTAGAAGTATATTTTAAAACAAAGATTTTAAGTACATACACTGAGCAATATCAGAAAAAAAATAGTTTTTGAGAAAACTTGTTTCCATAAGCTATACAATAGCATTTAATTGTGCTCAGTATGGACATTTGATTTCAAAGTATGTCAGTGAAAACTAACGAACAGTAGAATAATGTAGTTATGAGAGTAATAAACGACCATAAACTATTATTATTTGTCCGTTGGGTTCCGACGGCTTCAGTAGAACGTCACCATCTTACTCAATTGTCTGTAATCCTTTCAACCTGGTTTCACGACCGCCCAGAAGCTTTCATTTCTTCCTCACACGATATCCTCCATGTCACCCCCGGACGCCCTATTCGTCGTTTCCCCTTTGGATTCCACTCGAGGGCCTGGCGCGTGATATCTGTCTAATAGCTATTAAAAAATCTGAAAAGATTTATAGGTGAATATGAGGAATTTTTCACAAGTAAATAAAGATGACTGAATATTAGAAAAATAAGAACAGGAGGTAAGTATAGACAGAGCATTTCGACCCTGTATATCAACGGGAAATTACAAGTATCATTACAAAAACTGACATCCGTTGCACAGCAGGCCGCTGTCGTTCTTCAGTGGATTAGTGGATAACGCTCTGACGTTTGAAGCGATGAGTACAATGTTCGAGCCTCAGTAAGAACGTCACTCACTGAGATGCGGATACATCCAGCTGATGAGTCCCAAATAGGACGAAACGCGAATCCTGGATTCTTCTACTAGTTACAGAGGTCAGTATAACATCAGGAGGTAAGCGAATTGACAGTAAATAGTTTCTAGCATTAGAATCAGAAGTGGTCGGTTGCCCTTGATTAGATCTTAAGAAAGATTTCATGACAGTTTTTGAATCCTAATACAGTTCATTACTAGTAAACAAACTTTGGAGATTGAAGTCCTTGATAGATTCGCAGTGAACTTCCCTTACGTTCATACGAAAAAGTGTGTATATCAATAACAGACTTGTTCTTACACAATACCTAAGGACATGTCTCTACACAAGCAAAGACACCAAAGTTGCCAATATTAAAACCAATTCCTGCAGGCTGCGGACACAATAAAAAAACAGACAAACCAACTTAGAGAGAACACATGATAAACGGAGAAATTGATAGTCACAGAAAATAGTAGACAACTTTTTAGGACTGTTAGCGAGGCTGTGAAAGGGTGAAGGATGAGTCTGCGACTCACTTGCAGTGTAGACGACTGTTACGATACGCACGATAATCTGAAGAACAGACCTATTGACCTCCAGAAAATCTCCAGTTACTAGCAACCCAGTTTCACCCTGACGAGGATATTGAGACAAGACATACCGCTGCGGAAACTGTAAGTAACTTGAGATGAGGGAGGGTAACAGGCTCCGATAAGATTGAATTATGGGTATTTAGGAATGCAGCTTTATTCAAACTTATCATATTGTGAATTTCATTCGGATACGATTCCCTTTGACTAGTTTCATTGTTGTTGATCCCAGATAGAAGTCATTTCGAGATTACAGAGAAATTAGTCTGACGAAAAAAGTGTCCGAGGCTCTAGGTTTTATAATAGTCAGATGCTACGCTAAAGATTGAGAACATAGAACTTGAGAAAACCAGGCAGGCTTCAGATCTGGCTGTGGGTGTATCAACTAGAGCTTCATTCTCCACTACGTATTGGAACGAAGGTACAATTAACAGAGCGCCACCCACTTTGAAAGAGTGGAACATGGGCACCATTGCAGCTTATGATTCCACATGAGATTGCTTGTCAAATAAACTATATATTTTT